CCATAAACTTTTGTTGGTGATGTCAAAAACTTAAATTTTATACTATATTAATTTTACATTTATCATATTCATCACCTATTTCTAATAAATCAACAAACTAATTTAAATTTATCACATCAAAATAAAGAGAATTTTATTGTATTGATAATAATTTTTTATGTACAAAAATGTAATTATATATAGAAAAATGTTATTTACCACTAGATTTATTTCATCAATTTTTTTTTCCACTTTTCAAGTGTATTGATATGGTAAAAATTATGTGTATGTGTAAAATCTACCATGTAACCATGTTTAAAATAGTGGATCTCACTATGTTGGTCGGAAGTTCCTTGTATATAACTTGAGTAAAGATATTGGTACTTATTTTTTTACTCTCTCACGAGTTTAGGGCAGCTCACACCCATATGAAGGTGTGTAAAATAATAGATACCCTTAACATTGTTGATAGTTTTATCATACATATATATATGATTTTTTTATAGGTATATATGGAGCCAACCGTAGGGTTTCAAACCCTCTGTTTTCAATGGGTTCATGTATGTTAAGTTGTTCCTAAGACCACAAATGATATGCCGAAAATCATAGTTTTTCCTCAGTCTAGTGGGTTCAAGTGACACCACTACTGAGTGAGTGGCATCATCCCTACCTACGAAATTATATTGGTAATCCTTTGGATACCTAAAAGATGTGTTAATTACGAGATTTATGGTCACTCCCAAAATTCTTGTCCTTCTCATCTTCAACTTACTAGTATAGAAAAACAAGTATAGAGAAAGAAGGAGGAGGTGACAAAAGACCCCATGGAGGATTGGATGGAAGTTCTACCCAAAAAGATTCCAAGAGGGGATTATTATTCAAGATGCCGCGGGTAGTGGGCCCAAAAGAAATACTCCCACCAATAGCACAAACATGTTTTAGTGTGCTTGACACTTGCCTCTCTAGGTTTGAATGTGATGATAATTTGGAAGTCCAACCACATCAAAAAATGAAAACCAGAAGAAGCTAAAAGAGAAAATTCACAACTTGAAATTGGCTCGAGGGAAGGTTTCTTAACTCAAGTAGCAATCCTAAGCCCGGCCAAGGAGGTAGCAAGAATATGACAGAGATTCTCAGGTTGTGAAAGTTTGATGTGAGGTTAGGTCTTTTGATCTTTGGTTGCTGCCTTTTGGAGCTAGCTGATTTTGCCTTTGTGCATGTTGTCTATTAGGGCTTTGAATTTATTAAACCAATTGTCCCGAAAGCTTAAGCTGTTAGGAAAAAGGCCCGACAATGTAAATCAAGCTATTCAAAAGCCTCCCTCACGTGCAACCATGACTTGCACGTGGAAATGCAAACATCCAAACATAGAGAGAAAAAAGAATGCGAATAAGAGAGAGAATTCAAATGGAATGACTTGAACCCAAATCCTTCTCCAACTTGAGCTCTAATACCATGTTAATCATGTTTTGAGGGAGAAAATTAGAGTTGTATTATTGCGTAATCATATTCTGAATACAATATTAGCGCAAACAGCAAAATCCTAATAAAAGAAGACAAAAAAGATGTAAAAGCTAAACTACCCTTAATATCTAAATTACATATATCATTAACACCCTCCCGCAAACTCAAGATGTGACAGTAGATAGCATCGAGAGTTTGTCAAGGAGACAGAAGTGCAAAATGGTGTGAGACTTAGCGAAATGATCAGCCAACTACAGACTAGAAGGGATAAAAGGTAAGGACAAAGACCCGAGCTGCAGATGATAATGCACAAAGTGACAATCAATCTCAATATGCTTGGTGTGCTCATGAAAGACAGAATTGTATGCAATCTAAATGGCTCTCTTGCTATCACAATACATAGGAGAATGAGATGAGATAGGGATGCCAAGATAAAAAGCAAACAATGCAACAAAACTATTTCAGCAGGCACTATACTCAAGTTCAGTAGAGGAATGGGCAACAACAGTTTGTTTTTAACTCTTACAAGAAATAAGAGAATCATCCAGGAAAATATAAAATCCAGCAACAAAGGTCCTATCCATAATATCACATGGCCAATCAGTATCAGAAAAGGCACGAAGCTTTAAAGAAGAAGTTAAGAAGAAAAACAAATTTTGATGTAAAAAACCTCAAAGATAGTGTAGAATGAGCAAAACAGCAACCAAAAGAATTGTGGTAGGAGAAGACACAAACTAACAGAAAGCTTATAGATTGGTTGGCGCTGGATCTAGGGTAGGACATTGTACTCCAAAGGGGATACGCATTCGGCTCGCTCAAGGCATTCCCTAAGCTATTTTTTGAGAGCATCCGCTGTGGGACTTCACAAGCTCATACCATCAAAAGCAACATGAACTGCATAGACAATATCACATCGAGTGACAGTGAGATAGAGAAGGCTACCGGAAATAGTTCGATATGAAGTAGAATCTGTTAACAGAACTCCATCAGTAGAAGAAGAGTGCCACATTCAGCTCAAGAGGAGTCTCAACTATCCAAGAATCAGTTGGCACGCTGAATAATGTCAGTTGCATAGTTAGACTGAGAAAGAAAAATCCCTGAAGAGAAGAAGCCACTTCTATACCTAAGAAATATCGCAGCAAACCCAGATACTTCATCTCAAAATGTTGTTGCAACTAAGTTTTTAAAACAGAAATACCTTCAGAATCACACAAGCAATAATCATGTTATCAACATATAGAAAAAGACCAATGTGGAGAAAAGAATCATGATCACCGAAGCGAAAAGCCAAGGCACACACATAATGGAGAATTTCTCAAACCGAACTCGTGGTGCTTGTTTGAGACCATATAACGCTTTGTGAAGTTGACAAACTTCACTTGCATAGTGTCAAAGGCCAGAAGGTTGTAAACCCTATGTAACAAAGATGCTTTATGGCTGTAAAGATTACAACATTGCATAAATCGTACTTAATTGTGAACCATAAGATTTGCACACAATTCAGATAGATCACGAATCATTGTAATATAAGACTCAGCCAATAGATTCTAATCAAATAGGGTCAAATTGAATCGAAAAGAATGAAAGGAATCACGAATTGTAATATCTACAAATAGATTTGGCTTGTGATACCTCGAATACCATTGTCTATGTCACACGGACTCGGATGCGGGTATCGGGTGCCTCAAAACTACAAATGAAGGATACATGGATACGGATCCAAACTTGGATACGGATAGAAGGATACATTAAATAGTTATTTCTTCATATGAACATGAGTTAAAAAGTTCTGTTCTTTTTTCATTTTTGTTGAGTCATGAATTAAAAAGTTGACCCCAATAACTTTTTTATATATAATTTATGGACCGAACATGTGGGTAAGCCACATATCGGCCCATGTTATTAAAAAAGATGTTGGCCAGCTGTAAAACACTAAAAGGCCCAAATTTTTATAGCTGAGCAAAGTTTATTAATAGACCCGAATTTTTATTTTATTTATTTGGGTCCAACTCATTAGCCAAACCCAACAAAAGATGCTCTACAACTGTAGATCACCTTAATATCTCCAGTAGTGTTTTGCAATCTCAATAACGATTGAAACCCATTGGTCAAAACTCTCCCCCTCCCTCTCTCTCTCATGCACATCACAATCAATCTCAATCTTGATACCAACCCTAAATATCTCTCTGTTCAAACCCTACATTATGTCGTTATTGTAGCCAAGATTCAATCATCATGTGATTCAGCAGATCCAAATCTTCAACCCAACATATATCGAAGTTCTTTTGTAAGTAAGCATCCACCAACCTTCTTCCTTTTTGAATTAGCAATGTCCAAGAGAGAGGAGATGAATCCAACACAGATCCCGTACCCGTGTCTTGTCGTGTCGACACAGGTACTTCACCCCAAACGGCCAAGTGCATGTAACACAGACCATGATTGCCCTTTGTAATGATCCCAATTTGTGCAAACCTGTGCCAAGTCCCACACAGAAAGTCTATAAGGGTGGTCTTGAGTATATAACTAAGAATTATGAATCCAATTGATATAATGGGCTAAACATTTATTTTGGTGAGGACCCAACCAATTACTCCCCCAACCTTATGTATATGTACTAACGTTAGATATTTGAGACTCACTTTGCATTTAAGAGATTTCTTGAGAGCTTTGAATACACCAATGCTTTTAATTTCTTGCAAAGCTTCTTCTTTGAAAGTTTTCTTCTATTGAGACACCCATTACCCAAACAACATGGCAAAGTTCTCAAAAGTACCCACAGTGTTGCTTCACTCAACAAGGAGGGTGACCCCATGACTTCCCAACTTAAAATATGCCCCAAGTGAGCCAGGCACCTGGAAACCCTTTGCTCCTTGAGGAAATACTATGTTGGAGTTAAACCACCCCCTTCTTGGGGAGGGGGGGAGGGGCGATGCACTCTAGACTGAAGCAAGGTCACCTCTACTACATTAACTACAAGAATTATGCAGCCACAACAAGGCCACGGACTAGTGGACAGAGGATATTTTGAGGAAGTGGAAGCAATAAACAGCCCTCTCTAGTGCCAACATCCTCTTGGCAATCAAGAACTCCCTCAGCCTAAAGCTGACAAGGAATGCTAGGGCACTTGAAAACATTGTTATTGAGACCTAAAGTTGGCAGATAAGAAAAAGAAACTATAGATGCAAATACAAAGTACTCAATCATACAATCCCTCTCAACTAGAAGTTCTACAAGCCTATGGTAACAATTAAACCAAATAAATCACACATCTGAAAAAGCACCTTAGTGTCCAACAACTCCAATTTATTCTGTTTCTAAAGATGTTCACTGCCACTCGAAAACTTGCAACTTGGGCTAAAATGTCAATCTGCTCCGATATAATGTATTTTTTCCTCTTGGATTCCAATTTTTTTGGAAATGTGGAACCTCATGGATGCTCAAAACCTTTATAGTGATGCACAAAATATGAGACAAACAAATAAACTTTCAACGAAAGTAATTCAATTGTCAAAACCTTATACTTGACATAAATTGAAGTTGAGTATAAGTGTGCTTACCATGAAGTAGAAAAGAAGAAGTGAAACACCCGAACATATTTCTGACCAATTAGACTTCGCAGATATTTTATAGAGCCCAATGAAATCAGCATGCCATTGAAACATACAAGAGAATTCTCCAGGGAGCTGATATACATACAGTAGAACAATATTCAAGCCTGCATACAACAAAAGATACCTCCATCCCCTTCAAACCAATCCGAGTAAATGTAAATCAGTGAAAGGATTAAGAAATAATTCATAAGTACATAACCAATCATAGCCAGACAAAGTAAAGGAACTACAATATGCTCACCTGAAGAGGCCTAGAAAATTGCTTGTTAAAGACCAATCAATAAGTCCAATGCAGCTACAAATGAAAAATGGTAGAGAAACCCATGAAGGGTGGCTACTGCCCACAACCAGCTGAACAGCAGGCAACAATAAACAGCATAGAACCCTGAGATAAGAACCTTCCAAGGAACAAAACACGATAATAACAGAATCAAAATTCAAGTGATTATTTGCACCTCCAATGTCATAAAGCACCACTTCTGTGATTAGCAAGAAGATTTCATTTCATTCAGAAGTCAAAATTTGAATAAGATAATTCAGTGAATGAATTCCAATGGTTTAGTTTTACAAAGCTTTCTGTATACAGTTCAGGACTTTTGCTTCTTTAGCATTGCATTATATCACCTAATTACTTTGTGTTCATGTTCTTGTGACTACTAAATTGTTTCTGCAATCATGAAAAACCTATAAGAGACTGGAGAACTGCATAAAATGAACAATAAATGCAAATGATAAAATAAAATTCTTCACATAGGACATGTCAACAGCCTATCTTCTCAAAGCTTATGATATGAAAAGAAAAAGAAAAAGCCCAAACCTATATGCTCGAAAGAAGAAAGTAAATGGCCCAAACAAAGGTTTCTATATAGATCCAGCCCAAATCTACTCCCATACACTTCAAAAACTGCAACCAAAGCTGCCACTAGTTGAACGACCAGGAAATAAATAATGGACGGAGACTTCAAGGAGTGATCTCTGCAAAGCCAACCCACTTTAAGTTGTACGGAGGTAGATAATTAAGAAAATAACTGTATTCCTTGGTGAAATCATTTTCAAGAATAAAAAGAAGAAAGAAAAGAATTAGAATGTGGACATCAGTTTTTACCTTAAGAGACCAATAAGCTTTGCCCAACGAGCATCCACCATACTCCATTGATCCCCCTCAACAGCCAAAGTGATTTGAAATATGGCATGTGAAATAGCCAGTGTGGATAATATAATCACACCCCACAATACTGGGGACTTAATTCGATGAAAACCTATTGAATACCAATACATTGACAACCATAGTCATCCAAAACAACATATACAAAAACATATCATGATAGAATTGCAAATTCTACTGAATTGCATTAGACACAGATAAAACATGCCTACTGCTTGTATACGGCTAGACAAGTAATTAACTGACTTTTGTACCCAACCTTATTCATGTAAGTTTTTCTGAATGATCTGTATATTCAACTTGTTTCTAATACAAAGATGACAACCGATATATATAGCAATCCTAAACCTAATCTGAAATAGGAAATAATAACCCTATACAATCAATCTAATATTCACACAATCAATCTAAAATATATAATCAACCAAATTGATATATTTCCATAACTACAATAATATTCTCACACCCCCGCTCAAACTTAAGGTGTTTTAGCAAAAAACACTAACGCTATGTTTGGATTAAGTGATTTGGAGAGAAAAAAAAAGAAATGGAGAGATATGTATTTCTCTTACTTGTTTGGATAACCTAAGTGGAGAGAAATGGGAAAAAATTGAGAGAAATTGAGAGAAACTCATTTCTCTTATAAGCTTCATTTTTAATCTTTCCAAAAATGGAGAGATTGGGAGAGAAGAAAGGAAACCACTATTTTCATAATACCAATTTTGTCCCTATAAAAATAAAATAAACAAAATGATTGAAAACATAAAAAAAGTTATTTTGGTAATATAACATAAAATAATTTCTTTTCTTTTCTTTTCTCTTAATGAAATCTAACCAAATAAGAATGAGAGAAATCACAATCATTTCTTTACTTTTATTTCTTCCTTATCCAAACAAAAAGGAAAGAAATCACAATCATTTCTTTTTTTTTCATTTCTCTTATAACTTAAGTAATCCTTTCTTTTTTTTTCTCTCATAAGTTCCCAAACATAGTGTAAGAGTTTGCCAAGAAGAAACTGAAAACAAGCAGTGGTATGAGTCTTCATAAAGAAATCAGTAAGTTGCAATGCCGAAGAGACGAAAGGAAGCGAGATGGAGCCAAACTGCAGATGCTGACACACAAAATGACAATCAATCTCAATATGCTTCGTCCGCTCATGAAAGACAATGTTATGTGTAATCTGATTAGCATTGCGGTTGTCATAGTAAAGGGAGGTCGGAGAAGACTGAGGGACACCCAAATCAGTCAAGAAACAACGAAGCCAAACAATCTCAGCAATGGCATGAGTCATAGCACAGTACTCAGCCTCGGCAGTGGAACGCGCAACAACAGTCTGTTTCTTGCTCTTCCAAGAAATCAAGAAATCACCAAGAAACATGCAGACGCCAGAAGTGGACTTGGGATCAGTGACATCACCAGCCCAACCAGAACCAACATAAGCCACTTAGTCCAAAGAGGAAGTAGAAGACAACAGTGAACCCTGAAATATAGTACTCCGGAGATAGAGAAGAATCCGAACCAAAGCCGCCCAATATGTAGAACGAAGAGCAAAAACGAATTGACTAACCACATGAACAACATAGGCAAGATTAGGGCGAGTAACCGTCAGATAGACTAAACAACCCACGAGCTCTCTCGATATAAAGTGGATCATCTAGAAGAACACCATCAGTAGTGGTGAGCTTCACATTAAGCTCAATGGGGGTATCAGAAATCTTAGTGTTAGTAAGACCAGCATGATGAATAACCTCATTGGCATACTTGGCCTGAGATAGAAAATAGCCCTTGGGAGAAGAAGCTACCTCAATAAAAAGAAAATACCGCAAGGGGCCCAGATCCTTTGTTTCAAAGGTGCAGAAAAGATGCTGCTGACCTCAGAGGTAACAGAAGAGTCAGAGCCAGTGATGATCATATCATTCACATGCAGTAATAAGGCAACAAATCCAACGGAGGTATGGAGAAATAATAAAGTAGAGTCCTGAGCACAAGGATGAAACCCAAGCGTAGTAACAGCAACCTGAAAACGATAAAACCAAGCACGAAGAGACTACTTCAGACCATACAGAGTATGCCGAAGGCGACAAACTTGTCCAGGGGAATGGTGAAGACCAAGGAGAGGACGCATGCAAACCTCCTCTGTGAGATAGCCATTAAGAAAAGCATTCTTAACATCCATCTGATAAAGAGGCCAAGAACGAACAACAACGACAGAGATCAAAGTACGGACAATAATCATCTTGGCAATAGGAGCAAAGGTCTCCTCATCATCAATACCATGTTCCTGTGAGAAACCTTTGACAACCAGACGAGCTTTGTAGCACTCAAGAGAACCATCAGAATGAGTCTTAACTTTATAAACCCATTTGCAACCAACCAGATTCTTACCAACAGGCAAAGGAACCAACTCCCAAGTACTAGTTTTCTGTAAAGTAAACAACTCATCTTCAATAGCTTGAATCCAATGGAGATCCTAACAGGCCTCCTTGTAAGACTGAGGTTCTGAAAAATAATGAATAGTAGACAAAAACGTACAATATGAAGGAGAAAAGCATGTTTTAGCAAAACAAAATTTTTTAACCTGTTTATAGATGCGAAAGGGATACTTACGATGAGCAAGATCAGAGGAGTCAGAAGCAGGAGGATCAGCAATAGAGGTAGAGATACCTGGTGGATGGAGAGTTTTGTGACGAAAATAAACTAACAATGGAGAAGGAGGAGCAAATTCATGGGTTCAAGGGCGAAAGACACAGCAGGAGGTGTGTTAGGAGGAGAAGAGGGAACAAGGTCATAGGGAACAGTAGAGATGTAATCATCCGGAGAGACTTAAAAAGGAAATGGATCAATGTGAACCAAATCCTCTTTGCAAACTGGAGCAGTGATAAGAGAAAGCTGAAAGTAAGGCAGACAACATGACGGGAGATGTAAAGACAACGAGAAATAGGGTCGTAACACCGATAGACTTTCTGAGTAAGATTATAACCCAAAAAAACACATAGGACAAACCGGGTCCTAAGTTTGGTCTGATCTTTACTAAAAAAAGGACAAAACTAAGAAGACTCAAACACACGAAGGAGGGAGTAATTGGGAAGTTGAGAGACCAAAGCCTCATAAGGAGACCGATTAGAAAGAAGGGGAGTAGACATGCGGTTAAGAAAAAAAGCAGTAGTAAAAACGACCTCTCCCCAAAACGAAGCTAGAACTGAGGTAAAGAGAATAAAACACCTAGCTGGTTCAAGGAGATGACGGTATTTACGTTCGCCTCGACCATTTTGGGTAGGTGTAGTAGTACAAAAAGTTTGGTGAATAGTACCCAAATTGGCCAAATACTCACAAAACTCAGTTTTAAAATATTTCCTACCCAAGTCAGATCGTAACAATTTAATGGTAGCCCCAAACTGTATAGTGATCATAGACTGAAATGTACGATATATTTGGTAAAAGTCAGATTTATGAGTCAAAAGATAAACCCAAGTATGACGGGTGCAATCATCAACAAAAGACACATAATATGCGGAACCCCTTTAGTGAGAACCGGAGAGAGTTCCCAGACATCAGTATGCACAAGAGAAAATGGAGAAACAGAAACAGAAATAGAAATACTTTTATTAAAAGGTAAAGCTGACATTTTGGCAAGTTTACACCCCCGACGTTCATCAATTTGACTAGGAGAAACTTTACCCAATAATCCTGACTGAGCTAAAGATCGTAAGCGGTCAACAGACAAATGACCTAGGCAAGAATGCCATAAGTAAAACTGACTTGACTGAGAATCTAACTGAAAGAAGGAAAAAGCAACTGGAGAGGTGGATAGAGGGAGATGCAAGCTTTCTGCCACATAGAGATCTTCAACTCTACGACCGGTCTCAATCTGCTTCTTGGACACTCGATCCTGCACACAATAGACACAAGAGGAAAAAATAACATCAAAACCAGAAATATCAAGTTGACTGATAGATAATAAACTGACAGATAGCTGAAGAACATAAAAAAACAAAGGGAATAGTAACAACAAATATGGCAAAGGGTAAAACAGACCCAACAGATAGAACAGGCATACCAGACCCATTAGCAGTATTAACAGTAATAGGAGAAGGAAAGGAGATACAATTTTGAAGTAAGGAAAGGTGAGGAGTCATATGATGAGAGGCACCAAAGTCAAAAAGTCAGACAAAATAGGAGATACCTGAAGAGGACCCAAACAAACCTGAATGAAAAGAGGTGAGAGTAGAGACAAAGGAGGATGGCTAAGAGGTGGACAAGAGATGTTGAAGCTGAGCCATCTGGGCACGCAAGGAAGCCAAGTAAGGATTAGAAGTCAGAGCAGATGCAGTATAAGTAGTAGGAGATCGAAACTGTGTTTGAGGCAACTAAGAAGACTGAGCAAACTAACGTCCCTTCTTGGGACAGTTGTACTTCCAATGGCCCTTCTAATGGCAAAAAGCACACTCATCAGAGGCTAGTGGCCCCTTCTTGGGCTTCGCACTGCCCTGAAGATAATGAGGTGGTGGGGTCAACAACAAAGGAGGCTGAGTAGCAACCAAGAAGACAGATGGAGATAGAGTCTGACTGCTAGTCTTAAGACGGGTTTCCTCGGAGAGGAGCTCAAGAATAATAGCATCCACAGAGGGAAGAGGAGATCGATGAAGGATGCCACCACGGATAGCCTCATATTGAGGGGAGAGAGCTGTTAAAAACTGCACTAAATGACCTTGTTCCCGAAACTGAACATAAGCGTCTAGTGCCTTGAAGCTAGATGGTTCCATGAGAGGCAACTGATCCCAAAAACCTGTCATCTCAATGTAGAAGTCTTGAATAGATTGATCCTGCTGACGAGCACTCTGAATAGCTATTTCCAACTCATACCGTTTGGCAAAATTGGACTGCTGATACACACCTAATAAATAATTTCACACCTCCTTAGCAGTACCGTATTTGGAAAACATCATTCCAATACGGTCATCCACAGAATTATGAAACCAGGTCAGAACTCGGGCATTATCACAATCCCAAGTGTCACAGGAAGTCAGATATCCTTCTTGTTTCGGGTCCAATGAATGAGGAATAAAACCAGAAACATAACTCCATTTTTTCTGGCCAAGAAGGAAATTCTTCATAACACTAGCCCAATAAGCATAATTGGCACCAGTGAGTTTACATCTGATGGCTTGGATTTTGGTGTTCGTCTTTGTAATAAATCAAAGATAAACAGGTCGAAATATAATAATAACTAAAAAGTGGGCCAAACAAGAAATAAGGGTTTTTAATCAAATAACAGTACTGATAGTCAAAGTCACAAACACAGAGACAAAGAGAGAAAGAACCGGGCAGATGACCAGATGAAGCTGAGAGAGTATCGCAATGACCAGATGAAACCAAGAGACCAGATGAAGCCGACGAGATGAACTGTGATGAGCCAACAAGTCGCGATGACCAAATGAAGCCGCAATGATTGATTGCAATTCACAGCAGATGGGGTGCGACAAGGAGTCGCGATTGAACCGAGAGACAGAGGGCTCTGGGTCGACTTCGAATAGTTTTTGAACCAGACGAAAACTTTGAGTCAGACGAAGAACCAGATGGAGCAAACCCACTACGGCTGCTAGGGTTTCAAATCTGCAAGCTAAGGTTTCAAACTAAGCTTTGATACCATGTAAGTTTTTCTGAATGATTTGTATATTCAACTTGTTTCTAATACAAAGATGACAACCGATATATATAGCAATCCTAAACCTAATCTGAAACAGGAAATAATAACCCTCTACAATCAATCTAATATTCACACAATCAACCTAATTGACATATTTCCTTAATTACAATAATATTCTCACAATTCATACACCAAATAATCAAATCTATAAATCATTGACCCAATAATTACAATCATTTTATTGAAAGGTTCTTCAAACAGTTAATATGTTGAAGAAGTTCAAACCCTCTCCAAAAAACACACGCACACAGAAGAAATAAAAGCTATAAATGAGAAAAGAAATGACTGGTTAAAAAGTAATAACAAGGTATGGGTTAAAACGAATAATTAGAGTTAAGGGCCTTTAAAATCATAACTAAAACCTAAAAGACATAATGTAATGGGAAGAAACTTCAAAGTAACACTACGAAACCGAAGAAGATTTGATGAAAGATTATCCCACAAACAAAGCAAGTGAAACTTAAAAACAAACTCAAACAAAAATGAAAATGAAATATTGCCTCTTTACTTTAACTACTACCAATTGTTCATGCGTGGGTCCACTAAACTTGGCTTTAAATCTTTTAAGCTTAACAGATGGGTAATTTCTATTTAAAAGAATTGGAACCCCAATTTCTAGTGCAGAAGTAGTTCTATAATTTCAATGACCTTGAAGAACTTCTGGATTTTCGCAGGAGACTATAAAATCCCAATTAATTCATATTTATAAAGAGAAGAAAGAAGATAAGAGAATTTGATGATAGGTTTTGGGTGTGTATCAAACCCTCCACTATAGAGCATATCTAGGGTAATTCTATTTACACAACAATTCTACCTCATTACACCACTTTTCTAATTACACCTCCCTCAAAAATTCAAAAAACTTATTTCATCTCTTTACACACTTTGGGCTTGTTTGGTTTGTTTTTGGGAGAGCTGTTTTTGAAAAAAATTTTGGGGAGAGAGTTTAGAAATTTTTTTGGTTTGTTTGGTTGTATATTTTGGGAGAGTTGTATTTTTGGGAGTTTGGGATGATTTGATATTTTGGGAGAATTGGAGTAGATGTGTGTGAGAGAAAAAGTGATTGAGAAGGAGAGGGGAGAGAGAAAAAATAATTGATTGATGTGTAAGAGAGAGAAAGTGATTTTGGAAATTTTTTGAGAAAAACTCAAACCAAACAATTTTTTAGAAATTTTTTACTAAAACTCATCTCCCAAATGCAAACCAAACATACCCTTCTTTTTTCCACATATACCCTCTTCCCTAACCTCATCTCTTCTCCTTACATCAAGATCTTTCAAACCCTAACTCCTTCATCTTCAACTATTACAATTGCCTGCCGCCGCCACCTCCAATCTCCACCCCGCAACCCCACCGTGATGGCCATCAACCCGCACCCCTCATCACCACAATCATTACTCAATAGCCTCCCCCACAACCACCACTTCCGCAGCTTCTTTTCAACTTTCATATTTTGTTTAGCAAACCAGAGCCGAACAAATTTTGTTTATTTGGCAAGAGACAACTAAACAAACTTAGTTTGTTCGGTTGGAAACGACCAAACAAATCAAGTTTGTTTGGTTGTATCACACTGAATGGGCCAAATTTGATTAATTAGCCATGTTTAGCCATAGGAGTTTGAACAAACTTAAATTGTTTAGCTATCAAAGACCGAGCGATCTCAATTTGTTTGATAAACTAGAGTTGGAAGGAGTTTCAAACCCACTTTTTTCAAATAACTCAAAACTACACCAAAATGATTGAAATCATACCCAAACATCTTTTAAACACAAAAATCTTGTATATTATTTATATATACATTTTAAATATAAATTTGTTTATTTGTTTGTTTTTGTTTATATATATATATATATGGAGAGAGTGAGATGCGAGAAAGGGTGGCGGTGGTTGGTGGAGGAGAAGTGTGATATTGGTAGTGGGTGATGAAAAGAAAGATGAAAGGGTGTAAAGAGAAATGTGAAGGGGAAGGTTTGGGGCTTTTAATCCTTACTAGTAATTTTACACAAGGATAAAACTGTAATAAAAAATAAAATAAAATAAAAATGATTCTACTTACACCACTGCTTTACCTCTTTACAACCTCATATGAGATGTTCTTTTTTTTTTTCCAATTTTACCCATGTATGAAATTACATTTAAGGACAAAACACTAATATTAAATATATTTTATTATTTCCTTACACCCCTTAGTCTTTAATCCCTACTTTTCTTGTTCCTTTCTCAATTTTTCTTCTCTCGTGCACATCTCTTTTCAAAAAGTGAGAATCATAGTGTTTTGATCATAGAAGAAAGCAATGAATGAAGAAACGGTGGTGAAGAACAATCAAAAAAGTGAAATGGCGATTTTTTTTTTTTGGGGGAGGTTTTTGTTTTGTTTTCCTGGATTGTTCTTCGACTTTTGTTCGGTATTTCAAAATCGAACAAAATAAAATAGTCTGACATCACATTGCCGAACAAAAAATATGTCTAGTAACCAACTGTTGAGTAAAAGATACATTTACAGTAACCCAAGGTCGAATTTTTTTAATTTGTTCGACTACTCATTATCGTGTATTTCCAGTTTCATTTTTTTATATTTTTTTTTCTTAAAATGACTATGCTTCTACTCATTACAACAATGCAATCCAATCATAAATTCATTACAGACGAGATTTGTTAAGTATTTTTTATGAAAACTGTTTTTTTTAGAACAACAACATATTGATGAGAAAAAAAAGTTTGTTTGGTAACATGGCACTAGATTAATTCAAATTCATTAGCATTGTATTACCGAATAGGCCCGACATAAATTTCAAAATCATTGTTTGGAAGAAAGTGGCTCTGTAAAGGTATGGCAACAAAATGTTTGACAAATCTATTTTTTTCGGCAAGATAACACTGGAGGAATGTAAATTGCTTAGCACCGTGTGACCAAACAGGCACTTCACTGTAGGCTCCATTCATTGTCTTCCCTACGTCTTTCTCTTTCCCCTTGCTACGTCTTTTTCTGTTCCCTTATTTTCCCTCCAAAAACTATTGGTGTAAAGAGATGAATGGGTTTTGAAAAATCTTACTTTAGGGTTAGTTTTGGTAATATAATAGGTGTAATAAGAATCACATTTTTTTTTTAGTGATGTAATGAAATGGAGGGTGTAAAGAGGTAAAGTAATGGTGCAAGTAGAACCACTCTAAAATAAAGGGTGTAATGAACTATAAGTGTTGTGTACGTAGAATTTCCCCTAACACATTCTATTGTATTTCTTGCTTGTTCCCCTGAGGCTCCCATATCTTGGAATTTCTTTTTTCTTTTTCTTTTTTTGAAATATAAATGATAGGAAGGCAAGTTATTGGGTGTCCTTATTATCCATTGTTTATAATGTTTCTTTAAATAGTGATTCTATGGATAGAAGGGTCTGGTCTAGACCTATAAGGATTGGATTCAGACCGGATATGGAGTAACCCGAATTCAATCCGATTATGGCAAATCTGATAAGAGATCATCCGAATCCATATCCGATTCCGGACATCTGATCTGAAAATCCAATCCGATCCAATCTGATTTTATTTTCATCATATCAACATGCATTCTGGTACGGCAATCTTAACAAATTAGTAAGCCCTCAAACTCAATTCAGTCAATGCTCTTCTTAGCTTTGCACTGATTTTCTGAACTTGGATTTTGCCGTAAACTTGCACATAATGTATGTATATAGTAGTTTTGTATGTATCTGAGTGCCAAATGCAGACATTTTTTTCATGTATTCAGGTGTACTTCTTGGTTCACTTAATGAACTTATTTCCATTTTCTCAAAATAACAACAGCAAATGGTAAATTAAAATCAAGATGCTGTTCTTTTAGAGGACGAAAATGAAAATAAATAAAGAAGCACGCAAGGCTTCCCCTTGATAGCAAGAGTTCTCCAATCACAATTCGCTATAAGAAGCATGCAATCATTGATTGATACACTGTACAGGCTTCGAGTAAAGGTTCAAAACTGTACTTAATCAAAGCAACTCTTTCAAATTTGACAGAATATTACCTCTCGACATTCAAGTTTCCTATTTCAGTGGAGAAGGAACTTACAGAATTGCAGAGGAAATTCTTATGGGAGGATGGAGAGGTAAAAAAGAAATTGGATCTTGTTAGTTGGAATGAAGTGCTTTTAAGGATCATGGAGTCTTAGGAGTTGGCTCTCTGAGAGTTAAAAATGAACCTCTTTTGTCTAAATGGCGATGGAGATTTGGGATGGAAAAAGGGACTCTATGGAGAAAGCTGATTTATGAAAAATATAGAGGTAAATTGAAGAGCTGGTTTCCAAGGGAGGGAGTTGAGAAAAGCACAGCAGGTAAATCAGGGTTTAAAATAACTATATCGGGATATGTAACAGCATCGGTGATATGATCATATATCGGCCGATATTGGATAGTAACGGACAGTATCGGCCGATATATCAATGAATAACGGTATCGGAAGGCCAAAAACCCATTACGTAATGGCCAATACGATACGTAATGGACGATATTTAAAACCCTGGGTAAAGTATTAAGAAGAAATCTTTCTATAGTTGTAGGGGATGGCCGATCTATCAAATTTTGGACTGATCTGTGGATTGGGGACAAAATTCTCAAAGTGGCATTTCCAAGACTGTTTTCTTTGTCAGTCCAAAAAGACACTTTTGTGGTTGATTTATTTACAAGGACTTCTGGTGCTCCTTGCTGCAAGCAGTACATGAACTTTTGTCTCAATTGAAATCCACAAAGATGGATTCAAGTATGGACAATAAATTGATCTGCAAGGCTGAACAAAATGGCGTCTTCTCTGTTAAATCTGTCTGCAGTAACTATGAGAATCTCACAGGACTCGATTAGGACTTCATTTGAATCATCTGAAAGAACTTCATATCTTTAAAAATTCAGATTTTCTATGGGCAAGCCTTAAAAGGCCGAATTGCAACTCAAGACCTCTTGATTAAACGGAACATCATTTCATCACAATCCAATCCTTGCTGTGTTTTCTGCAGGTTTGAATAGAAGAGGCTGAGCACATGCTTCTGTTATGAAATCATGCTTGGAAGCTTTGGAGTGATATTTTAAAATGGTGAGATTTAAAGTGTGTTTTCCCAGGTTCTTTGCATTCATTATCTGCATGGTGGTTCAACATGGGCTTCATAGGTTGCAAGAAATTAATCTGGGAATCCCTTTTTCTACTTAGTTTTATGTCCCTTTGGTTATCTAGAAATGCTGCAATTTTCGAGGGCTTAACTGATCTGGTGAAGGTGAGAGCAACCAAGTGGGTAAATGCTAATTCCAAATATGATTGCTACTCCCTTAACCATTGGGACTGGTTGTACAAAACAGCCACTGCATAATTTTCCCTAGGGTGCTCTGGTTCAATGCTTTTCTTTTCTTTTCTTTTTTTTTGTTCTCTGTTCTTTGTTTCTTTGGCATGCTTGAATCTTCCATGGTTAGGCCACTGCCTATTCCTACCACTTTCAGGCTGGTTTGAGCATCTTCTTCCCTTGTAATGTTTTATTATCCCAAGAAAATATTACTTTTGCTGATTAAAAAAAAAAGAAGTTCAAAACTGTAATCGGATCGGATTTTTAATCAGATGGGATTCAGACTTATCCAAATCCGGTTTGATAATAATCAGATTCGGATTATCAGATTGGACTTATGTTAACATATTCCCATTTTTTGGATCGATGTTTGGATTAAATTCAATCCATTGACAGGCCTAGTATGGTCCATTCATTCCTTGGGTTTATTCTCTTGCAAATATTTTTTCCTTAAGTTAATTGATAATTCTAATATTCCTCTTTTAGATCCTCATAAAGTTATTTGGAGTGCATGTGTGCCCTGTGAAAGTTTTAAGTATTTTCATGGTCACTCACGCATAATAGGAACAATACAAATGCTTTGTTCGAAATAAGGAGACCCAACTATTTTGTGCTTCCTCAGTGCTGTATTTTGTGCAGGAAGGATGAAGAAAGAATAGACCAGTTTTATTTTATTTTTTTCCATTGTCCTGTGACCTTATCATTGTTGGTAAATTGTTTTGTCTGGTGGATATGGAGTGGGTGACTCCTCTTGCATGCAGATGTTGTTAATTAGCATTAACAAGAAAGGTCAAGCTCTTGGGGATTGTTTTTCTTTTGCTATATTTTGGAAGATTTGGTTGGTAAGGAATGCAAGGATCTTTGAAGACAGATTTAGAGATCTAGAAGTATTATGCAATAAGATTTGTCATTTATTCTTTAGGGCTTCAATCTCACCTCCTTTTAATGGGAGTCCTTTCTTATTGATTAATAGGGATTGGAGGGTCGTGTGTAATTTGTGATTTGTGTCCTCCATCTCCTCTCGTACTCGTCACTTTTGTCTTCAGCCAGAAAATCTAAGTGAATTTTAATGAATTTTTTTTGAATTAGCATCATCAGATATGTCAAGCTAAATTTACCTTAGCGAATCCAAGACCCAATTAGATAGATTGTTTTGTTCAAAACTAAGAGTGAATTCCCATCCTGTTCAAGAGAGAAAATAACTTCAGGTATAGAGATAAAAAGCCTCGACTTATCGTCATCCTATTGTAGCCCTTAAGCTTGGACTTCCCCATGTGCAAAAAGAGGAACCCTGTCACTACTCAAACACAACTTTTTTTTTAGGTTGGACAATGCATTGTAGGATTTTTCACTTTCAAGTTGTTGTAAGCTTTAAAGACTGGAAATTAGGTCATCAAAACGAAGACCATACGGGCGGAATGTGATTGGTTGGATGGAAAAAGCAAGTAGAAAAAGCGATAGAGTGAAGTCTAAAATAATAAATAAATAAAAAAAAGAGCTTTGGGTGACCCACCATCAATCAGGAAGAGGTTAGAAAATTCCACAACTTTTGAGAAATCAAAATATTGTATTTATTATTATTTTTATTTTTAAAATCTTAATTTATTTAGCTTTTATTGTTTGTTGGACAAACTACTAAATTGAAATTCTTAAACAACATAATAATTATTTATTTTGTAGTATTATATATATCAATGGATATAAACAGTAGAATAATTATTTGTTTGTCGGCAGTGGGAGTACTTCGGTGCTTCTCTGTGAGCTGCATCACTGGAGTTTTGGGTTATTTCGTTGTTATTTTATTTGAGTTTTATAAAACTTAGGGGAATGCACCAATAAATCCCAAATTAATAACTTATACACTGTTTAGTCCTAAAAGTTTTCTTATAGACTGAAAGGTCCCATTACAATGTTTCAAACATCAGATTAATGTTTCGAACATTAGATTTCGAACATCAGATTAATGTTTCAAACATTAGATTGATGTGCAAATGGGACTAAATGGAGCATAAGAAAACTTTTAGGACTAAATGGTTCAACTTTTCAGAAACTAGGACTTATGGTAAATTTTCCTAAAACTTATGATACAATTAAAATTGTTACAATTTTTTAAAAAGAATAGTATTTCTTTATTTTTTTTCAATATTTTTGTAAAAAAAATTACAGACTTCATAATAAATTTTAATATGATACGTATGAATTATAATTATATTTTTATCACAAAATTATTTATACCGTACCTTCAGATACGGACATACGTTAGTTAATATATAAGTTATAAATAAAAACTAGAGAAAGAGAAGGGAAAGGATGAGAAGACAGTCAAAGAAGAAAAGAGAGAGAGGAGAAGAGAAGATAGAAGAGACAGAGAGAGAGAGGTCGAAACCAGAGGGGAATCGAAGCCCTAGGGTGGAATCGGCTTTGAGATGTTGATTTTCAGATCTCCTTCGATTCGGTCTAGTTCGCGACTAGGGTTCGCACTTCGATCGTGCCTCGCGACTCGACTTGCTTTGCAAAGGTGAGTTTCAGCCTCTCTCTCTCTCTCTCTCAACAACCCTTCTTCTTTCTCCTCTCATGTTAGCCATGTCTGAGAAAACCATGCCGAATCCGGCACATATCTCACTCCCGCACCCGTGTCGTGTCGTGTCGACGCGGGTACTCTGCCCTAAACTGGCGAGTCCATGTAACACAGCTACATAGAGGTGTGAAAGAAAATTTCTTATTTTTCTCTGCAATAGTGTATTAAAGCACTTCTCATTTATCAACAAGAAAAGAAAGCAAGTGTTGCAATTCTTCGCAATAATAGTCTCTCTTATTTTTGTTGTTTTAGGAGTGTGTAAACAATTGGGATTTGATACGATTGAGCTAAATGTGGGATCACTCGGAGTTCCTGAAGAAACATTCTTGAGATTTATCTGATTGATTAAGAGTGGTGGCCTAAAAGCCAAACCTCAATTTGCTGTCGAGTTTAACAAGTCTGATATCCCCATGAAAGGTGATAGAGCATTTGGGGCTTATGTGGTCTCAATGCCGCGATCATCTGGCGTGCCAATGCTTTTTATTGTCAGTGTTTGATTGATTCAAAGTTTCATATATTTTAATTTGATTCCCTTGTCAACATATGGATTTGAAATTTTCATAAGATATTTGTTTGAATGCATAACTAGTAATTATTGATGTTTAAAGAGAAGCGATGTGGGGAACTGAACAATTTTTTATCATAACATGCTTAATTGCCAACGCATATTCAATTTTAGGACATCCATTGGCCAATCTATTCAGGAAATACATTTGTAGCATTTTTGCAAGTGAAATTAAATATGGTAAAGTATAAGCTTGATATGTTTTGATTCCTTCCTGTGTCAATAACTAGGATGAAAAAAAGGGAAACACCAACGCATTCCCATATATATATATATATATATATTTGGCTGAGTGAGATTTTAACACTTCGTTTTGAAAGGTGACACTGTAAGATGATTTAGGGTTCCTAGAGGCCGTGCTTCCAAAATTCAATGGGTGCTCTGTCAAAGTTAGCATTGAAAATGAATACAAAATTTCCATGTCAAGGTGTAGATACATTTTCTGGTTACTCTGATTGGGTGTCTTTAATTTCATTTTATAGCATTTAATTAATTGTTACTTGGTTGAGCTTTTAAAGAACTAAAAGCAAATGGAACACAAATATCTCGAACTGATATAGAAGGTACTTGTGAAAATTTTTAGGGATAAGGTAATATATATTCTATTTCAAGCATTAAAATGCTCTCTGTCTATTAGATTTCCTAATCTTTAAGACTCGAAATGCCCCTAGGGCTGTGCTTAGATTTCGGATTTGTGGAGGGAAAGAAAAAAGAGATGGGAAAAAGTATATGATGATGTAGAAGCTAAATTTTGTTCACTTTTCCCTTCCCATTTCTTTTCCTTCTACAAACCAAATATCCAAACATAGTGCAAGTGGTAAAGGCTAAAAATGGTGAACAATTTTTCCCTTTGGTTGATGCAGCAAGTAGCTGAGTGGGTAATGACAATGGTGCAAGGTTTTGCTGGTAAGCCGACGAATTATTTGAATACTTTCACATTGTTAATTATGTAAACCTTGTCATCATATTTTGTAACGCCCTCAAAATAATACAATAAAGATAACTCAGATGCGGAATAAATATGAGAAACAACATACTTTCATATATCAGAGTTCACTGTTTAACAACCAGTTATATGCCATGTAGGCATACATCTTTCCAAGTCATTGCTTGACTACACAAATTGAGTCTCGCTCATTATAATTTAAGCCCTTGGCTTTACAAATAACAAACATACACGCATAAAGCATAAATAAGAAGCTCTTGCTTCCCGTGAGTCCATCCATGCTATTACCTTGGAGGTAACACCTCACCTGCACCTGAAAATGATATTCCCGTATAGGGTGAGCTAACAACCCAGTAGAGATAATCTAAAACAATATATGAGGTTTAGCAAATGTATAAATACCACGTACATAAACAATACCGATACGGAAGTATCCACAAGGCCTGCATGTTCATATGCCACTAAGACCAAACCTCATTTTCATTTTCCTTCAATTCATTTCAAGTTCAATATGTTACTCAATTTATGAGTTAAATTCATTATCTTTTAACAACCAAATTGAGAGTACAACTCAATGGTTTTTCCACAATGCAAAAATACACATAAATACTTCAAACCTACCATTTTACAGATATTTCGCCCGAAGGAACCGGCACCCATTTATATATGAAATTTCGGGTCTTTCACCTAGGACACTCCGGCCAACTTGCTTTAAATGGAGTCCATCTCCTTTCTCCTCCCAAACAAATATACATATGCAATGTATTTATAAACATAATCACATATGGAGTACATCCACTTTCTCCTCCCAATAAACATACATATACAATGTATTTATAACATGGTCATATTCAATGACATCAACAATGGATTAGCATTAAATCGCCTAATCCTCATGCAATTTTTACAACAATCATAACTATCCTCCACCGATAGCCCAATACAATTATTTCTAAAGAGATGTTCAATCTCAAAATAAATAGTTTATTTAAAACTTACATTTTTTTTTTTTTTTTTTTTTTGCTTTTGTACATGGGTGGTGCTCCCTTGTTGCCTTCTTTCATCAATATTATTTTTAAGTTTACTTAAGAAAGGTTGCTTTAGTTTCCTCTTTGCTACAAACTTTTGTTACCCAAATTGTAACTTGAAAGCGGTTGAATTTAGTTTTCACCAAGTGGCACTATTTTCTACTATGTTCGCATATTACATAACTGAAATATTGTCTTCGTTTATCCAGTTGTTTGGAAATGTGCTTGCTGAATTTTGGCTGGTTGACCTGTATTTTCATAGAGTTCTCCAATTTATTTTTCCTACTACACATTTTTGTAAATGTAGGGTTACTGACTATTATAAGTTTTTTAAGTTCCCTGTGTTGTGATAATAATATGTCATTCAGGTGCCCTATATTGTTGTAATTTTCCTTGAATTACCTAACGTCTTTCTAGACACTACCAGGAGAAATTCAGGCTACTGGTGTTAAGGTTTAGCACAATTCAGTTGCTGCTGTTCCTGATTTGCATGAAGTTATGCTAGTCAATAGGGGTTAAAAAGAGCCTGCTCTGTTTGGTGGGGATGGTATGATTAGTTCTTTTTGGTTATGTAATTATATATTTTACGTTGTGTGTTGTGCGTAACTTAATTCATTTTCTTAAATATTATTTGCACATACATTTTCAACTTTGGAATGCAGCTAAATTCAACAAAAGTCTTTGTCCCAAATACTTGGGGTTAACTATAGGGATCCATTTCCACCAATTGCTTCTATTTGCAGTCCTATCAATTTGTATCTGGGAGATTGGGAACAGAATGTCATTCTTCCCTGAACTGCATGAACTTTGATTAACTCATCGCTTACTTGCACGAGCACTATAGTGAACCATATCTTCTTGGAAGAGAACTTTTTAGTTAGTTGGATAAAATGAAAGAATAATTGTTGTTACATGGTCAAATAAACAGCATAATACAGTGTTGAATTATTGGTATAGTACATATCCTAGTATATGTCTACATTCTCATGGGTTCAAGCTATTTTACATATAGTGTTCTTGGAAGGCTGGAAATAGATATTTTGTTGAAAACTTCTTTAATTCTCCAATATAAAGATAAGCTTAAGTTACCTTCTTTTTTTTTTCCCCCCACCTTCTTTGAACCATTCAACATTGACATTTGATACCTTGTATGTATGTACTGAAATACATTGCCTTGCTTGAACAGTTTTTAATCAGAAAACATTCTACAATGCATACAAGAAACGGTCAAAGAACATCGAGATTGACATAGAAGAGTACAATAAAATGAAAGAAGCTGATCCAGAATTCTACAAAGAAGCTTCAAACCTCCAATATGGAAAGGTTAGTGTTTTAATTGAGGAAATTATGTGTTTCTGGCAAAAATGGTTCAATTTAGAGAAAGTTGAACAGAACAAAAGAATTCTACTCATATTTGACAGGCACCAAAAGTTGCCGAGGACAAGATTGAAAGGATGGTGAAGGAACTCAAGGACAGAGATGAGAAGCAGGAGGAGAAGGTTTCATGATGAGAAAGATACTGATTTGATCAATGACCGTAATGAACATTTCAATAAGAAGATTGAGCGAGCCTTTGGGAGATACACGCTGGAGATGAAGAATAACCTTGACAGAGGAACTGCTTTACCTGACTAAGGTACTTGAGGATTATAGGGCCATCTCTTGTTATGGAGGCATGCTCCATTGTTTTCTTTGTGATTCTAAATATGTTTACTGCATGGGAGGTGATATGTGGATATCGACTATATTTGTGATGGCTGAAAATCCAAGTTTGACTCTATGGTTAGGAATGATGAGTGAACTAAATTAAAAAGCTGAATCTAGGAAACAATAGAAACTAATTTTGATTTTCTATTGTGCCCAATTGTGCTCTATGTTTATTATCATCGCAATTTGTTGATTCCTGTTGCTTTTAGGGCTTAATTTGTCAGCCTTTTTTTTTTTTTTTTTGCAGGTTTATACTTCTATAACCAAGAATTATATTCTAAAAGGGGAGAAACAGCTACTACTCCCAAAATTCTTCTTCCATTTTTAAAAGGAACAACGGAGAAACTAATCACAGCCACAATCTGATATTTTCTTTCTGGTGAGTGCAGATGGTTGTTGTATTGCTGGTGTCACATACAATGATCAATTACTGGTAGCCTTTAGTGAGAGATTTATAAAGTGATTCATGAATATTAAATTGGTCACCAAAATGATTGCCATGTTTGATTACGAAGAGATATCAATACTTGAGAGTACTATAATGGAATGAGAGGAATAGTATTTGTCAGGCAGACCCCATTGACGGTTAATGGCATGTTGAAGTGTGCGACACTTACGGAAGGGTAGAGATCACCATGTGCTAGCATGATCAGTAGTGTTAAGTAAGTGTTCTTCTGATTTGATTTGGATAGGAATTTTGCATTCTGTGTCCTAACATATTTTATTGGCCCAGTGAATATTCATTTGTTCTACTAATGATGCAGAATAATGCAAATAAGCCAACAGCAAGCCATGGGCCTGTAACACCAGAGAGCAACAATTTACCTATAGGACGACCCTCATCAGGTTCAGCTTTCATTAAACCAAAAGGCTATAGTGGCTCAAAAGATATCCAGTTTACAGAAAACTCAGTTTCGGTGAGAGGCGAGACCCCAACAGCAGCAATAACGAAGGTTGACATGGAGCAGCTTGCGCAAAACAGAGGCAATGCCATGCAGCATTACAAAGAGAACAAGAAATACCGAAGGTAGTTACTATAGAAAATCGAAGTTTGTAACGTCTTAATACTAACATATCATAAATAGATATAATAAGCACATCCGGTACGAGTAGAGAAAGTTGAGAGTAGATACGAGGAAGCGAGTTAAGGGTCGATTTGTGAAGGTCCAGATGGTTAAATTCCTTCTGAATTATCTTTTTCTGAGCATAAGTTCTTCTCTGTTCCATCTTCATGTATATATTCCTTTGTTCTTCCACTTGAAATGTATAATTCGTTGATTTATTCTGGGTTGGCAATAATTTCATTAGCAACTGTGTATAAGCTTTAGATAAATCTAACAGAATAAGCAAAATCTCAAAACAAACAAACAAACAAAAAGAGAGCTATAACGGCGTTTTCTCAAACGCCGCTACAATGCCAAGAGTTATAGTATTTTTAATTCATATTTTTAAAATAGGAAAAAATCTTTCATGGTGTTTTTAAAAACGTTGCTAAATATTTGATGATGATGTCATTTTACCGTTATTTATCATATTTAGCGGCGTTTTTAAAGCGTATCGCTATAGCGACGGCCGAGATTTCGATGTTTGGTACTAAACGTCACAAAAGAATTAGCGGCGTTTTTTAAACGCCACTAAATCTGGAATTTCCACCGGTGATTTTATAAACGTTATCATATATCTGAAATTAGTTTTTAAATTTACCACTAAATTGTTATTTTCCTTTAATTTTCATTAAGTTTTTTTGAAAGTAAAAAATTAGAAATGAAAACATCAAAGAAGAAAATAACACCAAACAAAACTTTTTTTGTTTTAATAAAACAAAACAAGAAACAAACTCTAGATTATGGTTTTATTTTTGTCGGTCAATTGTTTTTTTTTTTTTTCAATTTTTTTTCTTTTTTTCTTTTGGAAAAATTTCAAATTAGCCTGACTTTCTTAAAAAAAAATTATTCAACCTTTATCAATTTTCTATTAGAACAATTCAGTCGTATTTTGCATAAAACACTTCCACAAAGTCTTATTTATCATATATTCCTCTTATACTCACAATATTTAAGAGAGCCAATATTTAGAAAAATATTCCTCTTGCCGATCCTGTTAGATTTTTTTTCTTTTCAATTTTTCCATAATGAGGTGATTGCTAAAGCCAAATATTGTTATAGAATAATACCAAACTCTATGCGATTTCAATTGAATTATTTTTTTTTCATGTAAATATTAATTATTGATGTATTAGGTATTGATCTAGAATCGACATGTTCATTATTTTATATGTTAAATTTTTTTTTTGATTTTTTCATCTGCATTTTTTTATTTTTTTTTTTGGTGAATTTTAGTAATATTTTAGTCATTTAAATTTTTTTTATATCAATTTAATTTAGATACATGTAAAAAATACAAAATTTTTAAATTTTTTTTTCAAGAAAAATTCACTATATACTAAAAAAATATAAAAGAATACAAAAATTCAATATATTTTTGTATTTTTTGTATTTTTTTTTTGGTATATTTTGAAATTTTTATGATTTTTTTACAAATATTTTACTTTTCAAGTACATCTATTAGGTGCATTTAAAAATAAAAAATAAAATTAACTAAAATATTAAACAAATTCACTAAAAAAACTGAATTAAAAACTCAAAAAATTATTTTTAAAAATTCAGAACCAAATAGAGTGAATAATCTTAATTATAATTTTTGAGACCCTATTTATGATTTTTTACTAAAGTTGACCATTAAATTATGAGTACAAATGTAATTAATATTCATGGAAAAAGGTAAAAGTGAGAAAAATTATAGTATTACTGTTTCAAAATAATTTATTTAAAATATGAATGAATTATCTTAATACAAAATTAATAGGTTTTAATGATTTTTCTGTAAGAAAACTTAGATTATTAGTTATTTTTCTATTTTTCTTTTATCAGGAGAGATCATATGGGCTTTCTCAAGTATTGGTTTTGGGTAATAAGATTGGGTGCAATGCAACGCTAAATTTTGGGCCTCGAAGAGAACTCTTAAGATGGGCTTCGTATGGGTTCCTCTATTTATAATTTATCACTATTTGGGGTGTGCATTAAATATAATTTATCATAATTGTGATGCTAGTGTAACAAATGCCCGAACTAAAAAAATGATCAGAATCAAATATCACTTAAGGTATAATAAGAAATTTTTTTGTTCATAACTAAAATAATAATCATAATAGGTCATAATTAATATCACAATAAATTATGATCAATACTAAAATAAGTCATAACCAAATATTGTTTCAGACATAACTAAACCCCTCTTCAAACATAACTAAAATAACAATAATATGTTATAACTAAATCATAACCCACACCATAATGACTACAACTAAGAACTACGAATTTTGTAACTAATAATTGATTATTACTTATAACTCATAAATACACATGTCATTCAATCATTGGTTTATTGCATTTCAAATGTAATTAATAATTGATTATTTGATTCATATGTAATAATTATCATATCTCTACAATTTGAAAAGTAAATTTATTTTTGAGTTGCTATTAATTATTATTTTTAAGATAATGGTTAAATATGTTAGTAGTTAGATTATAATATAGGTCAGCATCTCTTCATAGATTCAAACCTAAAATCTTACTCAACTTAAGTATCGTCTTCATAAGCACTCAAGAAACTGTCCAGGTTTCAATAATTATTAATTTCAAAACACATTTATATTTAATAATTTATTATCAATATGGGAATGTTTGTAGAGTTTTTTTTCTTTGAACACCCAATCAAAAATTTCTTCTTTTTATTTTAAATACTCTAAACAAAAATAATTTAGAAAATTGACCCACTTTTTAAACTATTTGGAAAACTAACCTACTTTTTGAAATCGCATTTTGAATATGCGATTTTGAAATTAAAATTGCATTTTCAACATGCAATTTCATGAAATCGCATGTTGAAAATGCAATTGATGGTGACATAGACTTCACTTTTTGAAATTGCATTTTTAACATGTGATTTCAATGTAAAATTGCATGTTGAAAATGCAATTTCAATTTCAAAATTGCATTTTCAAAATGTAATTTTAAAAATCAGGTTGGTTTTCTAAATAGTTTGAAAAGTAAGTCAATTATCTAAATTGTTTTTTTTTTTAAGAATATTAAAAAAAAAAATCAATGTTTGTATACACATGGATATATCACATCATGATATTTTTGAATTCTTTATACTAAAAATTAACTCATGTTTATTTTTATTTTATAGAAATAAGCTCTTATTATGAAAAATATTATGCATAACATGGACAATTTATTCAATTTTTTCTTTTTTTAAAATACAAAAATACATGTGTCATTGGCAATGAAAATTTTTATGTATAGTACAAATTCATTTTATTGTAATGTTATTTCTACTAGGTCTCATTTAGGAAGTTAGCTATTTTAGTTGTCTTTTTGACTTTTTTGCTATTTTAGCGTGGTTAAAAAAGTTGTGTTTGAAAAAATAGTAGGTTTTTTTTGTAGTTGATTTGATAGTTGTAAGAGAAAAAGTGAGATGATTATGGGTTGAATTTGACATTTTGTCTTGTTAGTTTTTTTAGCCTATTTTATTTTTATTGGCTATTTTAGCCCAAATAACCCTTCCCAAACAGGCCCTAAGGATTATCATGATATTATTGAATCCTTATGTAACTCCATCCAACCTAAATTAAAATTTTGAGGCTAATATTTAAAATAAAAAAAAATACAGATAATGTATTTTTTTTGTCAACTATTTTAGAAGTAATCAAGTAAAGCAAATATAACATAGATTTAATTTTGTAAATTAGGGAAATAGAATTGAGTTAAAAATAAATATTTCATCTATAGATATTTTATTTTATTTATTTTTTCATCAAGTAGAGATTATTTTCATTAAATTTAATTTGTAAAGAAAACTTTTAATTTTTTCATACACTTGATACTTTTAATTAAGGATAATTTTTTTTCACATGATGTGTTCACACAGCAGAATCGAACACAAACAGAAAATGACATGACACAATAATATTATATAACAAACAGCTGGAACGTGTTAGTATTGTTGAGTTAATTTTGATACAAACTTAAAATAACATGACACAATTACGACCTAACACCACACAACACCCACCTTAGTTACAACTTATTTAGCTGACAATAAATATTTAAAAAAAAATCCATCCATATTTGGCAAATGCTAAAAAATCACATTTTTTGAAATTTTATTTTTAGTGAATCTTTAATTATTAGAATTTTTTTTAAAAAATATTTATATATATTTTCAAGTGCTTCTAATCCAGAAAGATTTAAATTTTTGATAAAAAAAACCTGTATATAAATCAAAGAAAAACTAAAATCAACAAAGAAAAAATGAACACCTCTTTGTGAAAATTTAACTTGACTTGAAAACATGTATATAAATTCGTATTGAAAACATGTTGTTCATAATTTCTAATGTCAGCATGAATTATTTTACCATTTTGTTTTCTTCTCATCGACTTGGATCTAAATTTGTTATTTTAGGCAATTGGAATTACAAAGTTGTGAATTCAGTTTCTCCAAAAGAGGGTTTTTTTTTTCTTCATGTAATCTATTATCTTTCCACAAAAATACATGCATGTAACTAACTATATATTCTAGCAGTCTATCATAAGTGTCAAATTTGAAAGATAGAAGTAGGAAATGAAAAGGGATATCATGGTTCACAATCAAATTAAAAACGAACAGCTTTAATGAAAAGGAAAACATGGTAGTACCTTCACTTCAAACAAGCTCCACTTAGTTCTGAACATGTCATCTTGCTCCATGTTGGTACCTAACCTCATTCGATTTGTTCTTCTGATGACGCATTTTCACTTTAAAAATTCTCGCAAGCCATTCTTCTTTCCTTCGAATGATGCAACTTCCTATCACCAAACCAAATACTGCTCCACATCCATATCCCATCAACACCGCTTCCCATCCAAAACCATCAAGTCTGCATTTATAATTGTGGCTTGAAGAGGATGGTAAAGATGGTGGTTCTGCTACCTTGGGAGTCTTACATTTCTTTGACAACGGAAAACCACACAAGTCTGCATTTCCCCTGTATGAAGTGTTTGAAAATGTTTCAAACTGCTGGCCTCGTGGTATAATCCCAGTTAGATTATTTTGCGAGACATCAAAAACTTCAAGGAATGTCAAGCTTGTTAGTTGTTGAGGTATCTCACCAAAGAGTTTGTTTTGGGATAGATCCAAGGACTCAAGCTCAATTAGATTTACCAAGGACAATGGAATCGGATCTGTGAAGCCATTTCTTGAAAAATTTAGGACACGGAGGGCTTTGAGTCTTCCAATAGATATGGGAATCTTTCCATCAAACTTGTTGTGCGAGAAATCAATAGCTTTTAAGATGGTGATGATCCTTACGAGTTCCATTTCCAGTCCTTTATTCATTATAGTTACCGAATAATAACCATAACCATTACGCATATAATTTAAGGAGGATTTGTCTTCATCATCCATCATCATTGAATGCATGCTCTCAAAGTATTCTAATGGCAAAGTGCCTGTAAATTCATTGTGAGACATGTCAATGATATGTAAATTGGTGAAGGCTAATCTCTTCCTTGGTATGGGACCATGGAATTTATTATCTGGCAAGACAATAATCTTCAATTGGGGCAGGTTCGCCAACCAAAATGGAAAAGCATCTTCTATGAAATTATGACCCAGATTCAAAATTTCTAGGTTCGTGCAATTCGCCAATGATCTTGGAAGCACCCCTTGCAATCCATTGTGGCTAATGTCAAGTTCCTGTAACATGCTTGTGTATCCAAATGTTTGAGGGATGGTACCATGGAAATTGTTACTTTGCAAATTTAACACGGTTAATGTTCCACTGAAGTTCCCCAAACAGGTAGGGATTAATCCGCCAAATTGGTTATTGGACAGATCGAGATATCTAAGAGAATGAAGATTGCAGAGTGGATTGAGTTCTTCATCAAGGTGGTTGTTCGAAAGGTCTAGCGCCTCCAACAATTCCATTCGGGTTTTCAGAAATTCAGGAATTTTATTTATGTTGCAAGACGACAATCGTAATGTCGTAATGTTTCGGAAAGAGGAGGGAGTGGAGTTGGTGGAGGTCAATGATAGACCACTGTTTGAAAGATCCAAATAATTCAAATATTCAATCTTTGCAAACGTGTCCAGCTCAACAGTGTCGCTTAAATTATTTGACGAAAGATCAAGACAGGTAAGGTTAACAATATGAAACAAGGAAGCAGGTATTGTCCCATTGATTGAGTTACTGCCTAAATATAGATAGCGTAGATTTGGAAGGCCAGTTATTGATGATGGAATGGGACCTGTTAGTTGATTGTTTGAGAAATCTATAGATTGACGTTGCAAGAAGTTGGAAAAAAGTTGAGGAATTGGGCCTTCAAAATTGTTGTGTGAAAGATCAAGCGAAATTAATCGCGTGAGGTTTGTAAGCGATCTCGGAATCGTACCAGAGAAATTGCAGTCACTGAGGTCTAGCTCCTCCAAGTTTTTAAGATGGCCGATTGAAGATGGCAATTGACCATTGATCAAGTTATTCCCTGGAAAATATAATATTCTTAGTTTCTTGAGGTTTCCAAGCGATGTCGGAATGGTACCAAAGAAATTGCAGCTCTGGAGGTATAGCTCCTCCAAGTTTTTAAGATGGCCGATTGAAGATGGGAATTGACCATTGTTGAAGTTATTCCCTCCAAGAGCTAACATTCTTAGTTTCTTGAGGTTTCCAAGCGATGTCGGAATGGTACCGAAGAGATTGCAGCCAAAGAGGTATAGCTCCTCCAAGTACTCAAGTTGGCCGATGGAATTAGGTAGCTCTCCGGTGAAATCTATTTCAGAGAGAGACAACGACCTAAGGTGCCGGAGAGTTCCATTAATAAAACTTGGAAGTTTACCTGTGAGTCCTGTGTTACCGTACAACCACAGCACTTGCAATTTCTGTAAGTGGAAAATGCTATTGGAGAAGTTATTCCCTTGCCAGACTTCTGATGATGATGATGATTGTATTGGGCCAGAAAGATGGGAGGAAATGAGGTGAAGATGGGTCAAATTTGTGAAACGGCCAAATGAAGGTAAAATTTGAGAGTGATTGAAGTTGTTCCAAGAAAGGTCGAGGTGTTGAAGGTGAACAAGATTGAAGAGGCTGCTGTTTGGATGGATGGTACCATATAGGCAGTTACAGCTGAGGTGGAGGCCAATGACATGAGAAGTGGTGTTATCACATGTGACCCCATCCCATGCACAACAATCTGTACCCTCTTTCCAATTATCAGTATTAAATGAACTAGAAGTTCTGGAGCAACCGGAAGCAGAGCAATTGAAGGAAAAGGATTGCTTAAATTGGAGCAAAGCAGTGCTCTCCTCATTATGGCAAAGATGTGCAGAAGAAGAAGAGAAGCAGAAAATTAGGGAATACAGGAGGATACATATTGTGAGTTGATAATTGGATAGTAAGAAACCCATTCTTACACCAGTATTGGGTGGTAGAGAGGGAATTGGATATGATGCTTCTTCTATATGCACTCTCCTATTTATAACTTAATAAATAATTCAATAATCAAAAAATATAAACTGAAAATTGTCATTGTATAGTGTCCCATATTATTATTATTATTATTTTTTGAGAACGATAGTCTCACATATTATTATTGTATTAATTTAATGGACTCCATCACTCGGTCAATTTTATTACTAATATAAAGATAATATATAAGATGATAAATTACTTTTAGTAAATAAATGTAATTAGTATTCAGCAAAGCATTATTAAAAGTAATGAGTCCCAACATTGGCTCATTTTTATTACTAATAATATAATGCTAACATTTGAGGTGATATATAAGTTTTAGTAAATAAATGTAATCATCATTATATTATGAATAAAATTGTATTTGAATCATGAATTGGTAAAGGAATTTGAAAAAAAAAGACAAATATAAGAGAAATACAAAGAAAATATAAGCTAAATTTTTTATCCACGTTCTCACATTTTCGTTTTCTTTTTCAAATTAATATTTAAATTCATAACCAAACATGATTTAAAAATATTTTTATTTTATTTTCTTTGTTTTTTATAAATGATTTGGCCATTTTCCAAACAGTGCCTAAATAAAGGACTCACAATACTGTTCTAATTTGGTGCTTTATGTCAATAGCAAGCTTGACTAAATAAAAAAATCCGCGTTGATTCTTACAACTAACATCAAAGAGTAAAATATATAACTAAGGCCCTGTTTGATTAACATGTATAATGTCATGTTTGTTTTTAACGATGAAAGGCTGGATTAGATTAGTAGTAAGAAAAGGTTTATAAAATTATTTTTATTTTGAGAAATTGTGAAATGAAGAAATAATCTAATGTATATAAAATAATTAATAATTTAATTTACTAATGAGGGTTTTAGATATTTTAAGTGCTAGTAAATCATTCTTACTCATCATGAGTGATTCCTCATTTTCCATTTAATTTTCATAGGGTTTTTTGATTTTCTAAAATTAATAGATTTAATATTATTACCCATAATAACACATTCACAAAATGATATTCTGGATCAGATTTCTTAACGGATCGAGCCTTCTTCAAACAAAAAATAACAAACTATATAAGCTTTAACTATATTATTAAAAACAAAAAATGATTCAAAACCATAATTTTTATAAATAAAACTAATAAATAATATAATATGATATTTTTGCAATTGTAAATTACCATTAGGTGTTTTTTGCTTGAAACAAAGGACTGAAAAATGACATATTATTTCGTATGAAATTTTTCAATAAAAATTATATATATATAACATTATATTTTGTGAAAATCTTTAAAATTTTGTACATCTTTATTGAAGAAAGGGATGGAAAAATGTGTACTGGGAGAATTGAAGAAGAAAGTTTCTTACAAGATGTTCATTGGTGCAAATCCTCTCCTCTCAAACAGGTTGGATTCTCTCAAGTTGGCGAGAGTAGTTGCGCTTAATGAGATCGTTTTGGGGTTAATCTCGATAATTTAAATTGTTAATTTTTTAAAACTTATTGAGTAAATATTTATATAAAAAATCAAAATAATTAGACATTGGTAGTTAATAGTTATATATTTGAATTACATTTATCTTAAAAAAATAGACGACAAATATAATTTCAAGAATAATCATCAATTTTTTTTGTAATGTAAATATTATTCAAACATATAGCTATTGATGTGCAATCACTGTAATGAATTTTGCGTTCAACGAATCTTCAAAAGTGAGCGGTTTGAATATATTATCAAGATCAATCTCAAAGGGGACGCACCAAACCCGAATTATTCTATTAAGTTAGACGACTAACTTGAGGAAATTCAAATCGAAAATTAATAATTGTAAAGCAACCAAAAGAAAAATTGAAAGCTTTTGTCACTGTATTAGTCCTGTAATTTTCATCTAATACTTGGTTCTTTGAAATTTCATCTCATATTTAGTGGATTATTTGGTCCTCGAATATTGTTTGTATTGATCTAGATTTCATTTCACAAATTAGTGGAAATATGTTGGAATTTAATTGGAAGCTTCACAAATTAGATTTTTTTTTTGGGTCATAAATCGTTGAGTAATATTACTAACTTGATTTTATTAATACAACTTAGGAGTCTACCTTGATATTATCTATAAGCTTTAAGTTAATCTTTAATAATCTTGATTGGATAACCATAAAATTATGTTGTTCTATAAGTTTGATTTTTCAGTAAAATTAATTTAGAAGTCTACTATAAGGCTTAAGTAAGTCTTTAGTAATCCTCACATCATAAAGATAAAATTAAATAGAACCCCGTATTACACTTTTATTAAACTGGACTACAAGCATTGAATGGTTACAAATTGATGAGGTTTGGTAAATGTTTTATTATTGTTGTTGTTGTTTTTTTTTTTTGGGTATTTTTTTGACTTTTAGGTGATTTTTTTTTTCTCCTAAAGATGCTTTTGGTAAATTTCTTTTTTACTTATTTGGTGCAGCCTATCTGAGCTGCTTATAGTTTTTTTTTATTCTAGAAGACTATATGTGCCAAACTATTTAGTACATCTTTTGCTTATGTTTGGTACGACTTTTTCTTATAATTTATTAGAAAGAAATAATTTAAATAAGTTGAAAAAAAAAAATTAATTTCTAAAAGTTGGATGACGATTGATTTTGGCTTCTATTTTCAAATTACTAGTTTTTAATTTATAATAAATTGTACTAAACAACACTATTATTATTATTATTATTATTATTATTATTATCAAATTAATTTCTTAGATTTTGATTTTTTAACATAAAGAAGAAGAAAGAAACCAACAAATTTATTTTTGATATTTTTTTTGATTGGGCCAAATAAGAATCTTTACTGACCGTAATTACAAGTCTTTGTTTGCCGAAAAATTTGGATTGTTGAAAAGTTTAGAGGGATTCTTGTAAACGAAATTCAGTTATGTGGAAAAAGAAATGCGTGAATGAGTCATAAAAAAATTGAAATTTAATTAAAAGTATCAACAATTAAAATTTTTGTGACATGAGTCTTTCAATATTTAAAAACCGACCCCACGTGCCTTTGATTTGTCACTAACTTTAATAAAAGTCTTCACACATTTTGACTAAAAGTTTTAAGCAAGTCTTCATTCATCTTAACTTGACATCTTCAATGATAATAGAGTTATGCATCTAAAATTTTTATATAGATTTTTTTAGGGGGATTTGGTGATAGCCCCTCACTATTTAATTTATCTTTCAAAAGGACAAGAATTATATAAGTACTTTCAAAACCCCCTAATATTTTAAAACTTGTTTCTTTTACCATATTACCCTCATAAAATTTTACTCTGTATGAAAGTAAAATTTTACTCTGTATAAAAGTAAAATTTTACACTCTGAAACTAAAAGTAAAATTTTATACTCTGAAACAAAAAGTAAAATTTTACTCTGAAAAACGAGTAAACTGTGAGACTTTGAAGCTAAAAGTAAAATTTTACTTTGTATAAAAGTAAAATTTTACTCTGAAAAACTAGTAAAATGTTAGACTCTACACAAAAATAAAATTTTACTTTGTATAAAAGTAAAATTTTACTCTGGTTCTGTCAAATGAAAAAACAGAACAATAGAACCAGAGTAAAATTTTACTCTGGTTCTATCAAATGAAATTTGATAAAAAACAACAAAAATAAATCAAAAACAAAACAAACAAAAACAAAACAAATTAATCAACAAATCAACATATCTAATTGAGAAGAAAAACTTCTAAAACTCGATCAACAATCACAAATCTCAATGAAAATAATACATATGTTCAACAACACTCATATGCACAAATATATATATATATATACATATATTCTCAAAATCTTGAATGAGGAATGTAACCATGATGGTGATAAAGCCTAGACAATATTTAATAGAATTAAAATTCAATATTCTGGATTAGTGATGCTCAACTTTTAGAGCTTACAAACAAAAAATTCCTAGAATTGAACACGTGTTCAACAACCTCCAAACCTCTCACGAACAAAGCAAAACACTCCACAGTAACACATGTTCAGACAGCTAGTTGTTCTTCTTCTATGAACACGTGAAGGCAGACACTCCACAGCGCAAAAAATTCCTCAACTTTTAGTGATGCTCCACTTCTTCTTCTGATATCTGCATATATATATATATATATACATATACACATATCTAGGGTAAGATATGAAGGTAGACAGCCATAGCAACCAGACTCAGAGAGTTGCATTCGCCGGCCTCTTGGTGCTCCTCCTCCCAATCTTTTCCCGCAATCTCTTCGATCCCTTGGGCCGCGCTTCTCCTTCCATGTTCTCCGTATGTCTCTCTCTCTCTCTCACGCCGCCGAATCTGCAGATTTGCCCATCAAAATGGTGTAGATCTGAGAAGTGTAGCCAAGGGTATAATAGTCTGATAAAATATTTAAATAATAAATTTTGTCCTTTATGCAGGATTTTATAATTATGAGAGAGTTTAGAAAGTATAATTTTTTTCTTAGTCCTTTTAACAATGAAAGGAAGGTAAAAGGGGTTTATAGCCAAATTTCCCAATTTTTTAATGTGTAATTTAAATTTAATTTTTATATTGTAAGGGAATGAATTGAAATAAAAATTACGTTTTTTAGTTTTTTTTTTATGACATTCAGCCTTATTAAATTGCTATATATCTGTAACGCCCCAAAATATTCCAACATTCATGAAAGAACAATAGCAACTCTCTAACCTTTACATCATTAATCGACAAGGTTTGTACAAAATAGTCCCACATGCGAATTATACATTCAATGATATCAAATACATGAATCTATAGCATGTAGAACATCAAGTCCCAAAAATAATTAAAATGCCCTTAAGGGCTTACATATTCCAAGGCTGAAACCTAGTTACATAAAATATGGTTTCACGAACCCATACATTTATACCTCTTGGCTAGCAAAATAAACCACAACAAAATAAGAGTTG